CTTTTAGGTTTGGCTTTTCTTGTCGACATTGTAATTGCACTACATGCTTAATTTAGTTTTAGGCTACTCTCTGTTTATGGGATGTGTCTATTGGGAAGAAATGTTGAAGGATGTGGCACATCTCACTTCAAAAGGTTTGTTCGTGCATATGCATTTCATGTCTAAATCCTTGTTACATTCTGACTAGCTTAGTTGTCTAGTTAGACGTGCGCGCAAATTTTCAGCAGCTAGGCATGTAATTTAAGACCTGCCCACATGGCCTAACTGACAACTTTTTACTAAATGTCTGTTTTTCACCCTTGATCTTTTGAAAACGTTCTGAAGCCTGACACATGTCCCTTATAGGTTGAAAAACAAACCAAAAATTTTGGGGTTAAGATCCCTAGTTGGTTTCATTTGGTTTTTGGGGTTTTCAAATTTAATTTCCTAGAGCGTGAAAGAGAGAAAAGAGGACTAAGGCTTCACCTTCCTCTTCGTTCTTCATTTATGAAACCCTAGTTGCAAAACCTTTTTTCATGCATTAAACACCCAATCACTGAAGGATAGGGTTACATTGTCTTTGTGGTTTTGCATTAAATTTGTGGTCAAGTTATTCAAGTTTCAAATCTGATTATTGACCCATTTTGAGATTCACGTCAGTTTCTTCTTTCAACTGTTTGATTGGAGAAACTGACTGGACATTGAATCCAGATCTACATACCAATATCATAACATCATATACATAGTTTGTATTGATTTTGGTGCCATAAGGTGAAGAGCTCAAGAGTAGCTGACATTTCGTGAAGATCGAAAGAATCTTTTTCGTATAAGGCAAGGTTACATAAAGGAAATACTGCTTTGTAAACTAGGTCTAGGAATTGAGATTTTCATGGTATTTTGTAAGAACTGGATTTAGTGGAGAGTCCTCGATTTTTTAATCTAGGGGTAAGTTTTTCTGGCCAAAAACATCTTGTGTTGATTGTCCTTTATTACTTGTCACATATATCTTCTACATGCACATGCTACATGTACCTCTTAACTTGTGCACCTAGTCATGCTCACTCAACACAACAATAACTTAAAGTAAACTGGTGAAGTGCTGACTAGAACAATTATTGGTTCTTTTAGATTGAAATATATAATTTGTGTTTGGTTGACTAAATGATCTTTCTTGGTTGACTAGTGTGCTTAACTAGTCAGTCCAACAGATCATTTTTATTTGCAGAATATTTCGCCAAGTACGAATTTCAATTGGTATCAGAGTCTTGCTCTAAATATACTCAATCCTTGGGATTTACTGGTATTGGGTGGAATCTCACTATGGACTATGATTTTGTCGCTACCTCTTGCAATTCTCCTTCATTCTTTGATGGATCTAATTATGTTGCATGAAGTGAAAAGTTTCAAATCTTTCTGGAAGCTCAAGACTTAACTACTGTTTACTATCTTACCCTGGAATGGAAAGCACCATCAAGAAATGTGAATGGTGAATCTATGGTTAAACCTAAAGGAGAATGGACTCCTGGTGAAGTTACTTCTGCCATGGCAAATAGTAAAGCGAGAAATATCATTGTTACTGCCATTTCTCCAACTCAATTTATACACATTCGATATTGCACAACGGCCAAGCAAGCTTAGGACAAGCTCAGAATACTTCATGAACCAGATAAACAAGTGAGGGATCTCAAACTTCAAATGACTCTTTCAAAATTGGAGGACTTGAGGATGAAATCAGAGACCTTCTCAGCTTTTTATGAAAAAGTTGAAATATTAACTAATGAAGCTTTGGGGTTGGGTATGCCTATTAATGAAATACCATTGTTCAGAAGATCTTGAGATCCTTGCCTAAGAGATTCATGGCTAAGAAGGCTGCCATTCAAGAATTTCAAGATTTGAATGAGATCAAGCTTGGAAAACTGGTAGGCAAGCTTATCACTTAGGAAATGGAGCTAGATATGGAGAAAGATGATACTAAAAAAGGGAGAGATGTTGCTCTAATAGTGTTGAAAATGCTAAGGTTATCAATGTACCTTGTGAGCACTCCAGAAGATGATCTTGCCTTGTTTGTCAAACAATTCAAAAGAATTAAACAATAAAGGAAGGGAGATAAAAAAGGTTGGGGAGTCCTCTATAAACTCAAAGTACCAATCACGTGGAAAGTTCACTTTTGGTAGGAAACAAGGAAGGTTTACAAGTAGAAGGGACAAACCTTCATCTGGAGAATATGGTATTTACTTTTCTTGTGGTGGTAATGGACATCATGCTGCTGAGTGTGCAAACAACAGGTAGTCAAGTTAGAAAATGGACAAAGTAATGATGGTTACTTGGAGTGAAAGTGATGATGGGTATGTGCATTCTGATGAGTCATCAGATGATGAAGAAAAAATTGTTGCTTTTGTTGCTTTAATGGAGTCCAATGGAGGAAGTGTCTCTAACTAATGATGATTTAGTGTTGAATGACAATAAGGAGATAACTTATGATGAATTGTGCATTTAGTTTGATACTCTTTTTTATGAGACTTATACCACAAAAGTGGAGAAGATTGAGCTACCAAGAAGGTTGCTCATTTGCAGAAAGAAAACAAGTCTCTTCATCTGGTCTTAACTGAACTGGATAAAAAGATTGGCTATCTTGAGGCACAAGTTGAGGAGTTGAATGAGAAGGATTCTCCTTATAATGACAAATATGAAAAAGATGATGAAATTGCTGCTCTTGAAGCTCAAGTTCAAAACCTTTTGGAATCTCAAGAAAACTTGATGAATCAAATTCATGTGTTGAAAGCAAATAATGTTTTATATCATGAGGCGAACTGGAAACATCTACTTGAGTTGAATGAGGCAAATGACAAGGTTATTCATCTTACCATTGGCGTTGAAAAAATTTGACAAGATGTTGAGCCTTGGAAAACCACTTGGTGTCAACAGTGGTCTTGACTACGTGGAAAATGGCTCATGCTCAATGAGTACCAAATCAAAATTTGTGAGAGAATCTTTTTGTGTGGCACCTAAAGTCAATCCAAGTTCGAAAACTAGATTTATTCCCACATGTGATCACTGTGGTGAATTGGGCCACATTCATCCTAAGTTTAGGAAACTCCACTATTGGAAGAATGATACTTTAAAGAATTAAGTGGTTGACTAGTTAATGAAGTCAACATAATTGCTTAACTTATGCAGTCATCCAGTATGCAAAATGTGAAGCCTCGCTTACCTACCCTTTTTCGGTTGCCCACCTCCTTAACTAACTTGTATGCCCTCTATTAGCACCAAATCGCTCACCTACAAGATTTATACTGTCACACCCGTCTACTAGCTGAGTTCCCTGCCACTTCCTTTCCTTTCATGCTCGACACCCTATCCGCCATGGATGACATATTTGGTACTAGTTCATGAAGATATTTGATAGGTGGCTTAGGGTTTATGCTGATTTGAGGCTTTTTGTACTTTTAGGGTGCGTTTGTTGCACTGGATTATTTCGGACTGGACTAGCTTAAGGGACTAAGCTGGGCTGTCTTGGCATGGACTAAGCAACACAAGAATAGTAAAGTGTTTGGTACAATATCGGACTAAGTCACGGACTAAATTATTTTTAGAATCTAAATATTTTTTTTACTACTTTTTAATTATTTTATTACTTTTTGATTCAGATATGTTCATTGACTCAATCTAGAGAGTTCCATAAGCTGCATGATCTCCAGATTTCTCCAAAAATAATCCTTGATCATCGATTTCCCAAAAAAAAATCTTGTCCATCAATGCCCTGCAACAAATTCAAGCATTTTCATTTTGTTTCTTCTTCCCCTGCAATTCTACCAAAAATTGCCAAGGACGCTTGCTTTCCTTGGATCTCGATAGAAATCAATTTCTCAGCTTTCCTACCAACCAAACAAAATTAAACACCCCAATAAAAAATACAGGAAATCAAAGAATTAACCTCCAGAAACTCAGAGGAATTGAATCAAGGAGTGCTAGAACGAGATATTCCTCGAAGGTTAATCAGAGGACTGCTAGAGCAAGATGGACGACAGAGAAAGCGGGATCTTCCTTATTCGAAATTTTGGGTTCGAGGCGAGAAGGAGAAAGTGGTGTTGGGCTAGCAGTGTGTCTCGCTGAAGTTGGGAGTGGTGGTGTGATGGTGGCTGTTGGTGCTCAAGAAAACAGAGAGCAGAGAGTGGATGAGAGAAGATGAGGATAGACCAGACGAAAGGCTTAGCAGTCCCAAGGTCTCAGGACACTCTCGCTAAGACCTCCTGGCGAGGGAGATAGTTGGAGCGAATCCCATTTAGTCTCATTAACTTTAGTCCGTGCAAGCTACAAAAACGGGATTCACTGATAGCTAATCAAGTCTAGTCTAGTGAAAGATAATGAGGCCAAGCAAACACACCTTTAATGGGCTTGGCTCATAATGTAATTATTGAAGTTAGGCCTTCCCTAGTAAGGTGCTTTTGAATTTCTTTTTTGGGGCTTATGTACTATTTGTTTTCTAATCTAAGTAATAAGCTATTTTGCCACTCATTACTACAATCTGATGATATTTTTCGTCACTTGGAAGTGAAATGTCTTAAGTTCGAATCTCGTGAATGACAAATTCGAAACCAAATTAGATTGTCCATTGTGTGACTTAACCAAATTCCCCATTCCTTTAGTGTAAAAATACTAGTGTATTGAAAATAAAATAAAAAATAAATTAATTAAATTAAAATTAAAAAAAAAAAACAGTAGTTGGCTATTCTTGACCCAAAAAAAGTTATTAAAAAAATAATAAAAAGAATAGAAAAAGGAAATAAAGAAAAAAGAATAAAAAAAGAAGATAAAAGAAAATGAGAAGAGATTTTGGTCCGTATAAATTGACTAGGTTCTGCTTCTGTCTATATTTATTTTCAATTGTCGCAATTTAAGTCGTACAGCAATTTGATTAGTTTTTAATTTGTAATTTTTTGATTTGGTAAAAGATTAATTTCATCAACAATAAAGAGTTAAGTTCCCACAAACCAAATACCCCGACCCATCAACAACAAATATGGAGGAAAAAGAGGTTATAGCATACAGAAAATGCCTTTTCCATAAAATATTCTATGCTTGAATAATATACTTTACCAAAATTTATTTCCATAACCAGCTTTAGAGCACATAATACAAGCCAAACACACTGTAAGAGAAGCTCCAAACAGAGAATATTTTTCAGCTTTGCTCCTCAGCACCTGCAATTTCCCTCTCCTCGGCTGCAGCGGCCATCAAATCATCAAAGTTTTCTGACTTCCCAAGTACAATCTCAATCTAAAACCAACAGAGTATATCAATATTAACAAAATGGAATACTTGGTAGGGGACAGGAAGGACAAGAGTCGATCTCATCATGAATGTGACCTTAAAGTGCTCTACAACTTGAGCTAGAAGGCCTCACAAAAATGGTACTACTCTTGTGAAGTTGGAAAACAAAGTTGACAATATGTCCTACACCAAATAGATACCAAATACAATTTGAAAGCACGTTTTTGCTATAAGGTTAAAAAAAAAAGTAACTGCAAATAACCATGTATAATATATGAAATGACAACCCTACTGGGATTTGGAACAACGACACTCAAAATACATGTAGAATGGACAATTTTTTCCCCCTTAAATCTCACACAGCAGCACACTGCCAACACATGAATAGATGGTCAGTGACACAACAAGCATTTCTTTTCAAATTAGCAATCTCCGAAAAAGGTGCACCGACCGGTAAGGTGTATAATTTTGCCATTCATATCACATTTATGCTTTTCTTAAAACCAATACAGTTTGGCATGTCCACATAACAACTTCACCAAGCCATATTAGCCCAATAATATAAATGCAAACTGATGTTCAAGAATCAAACAAATCCAATAGGGCAACAATAATTGTAAAAGGATCTCTCCACTCAAAACTCCATTCTTTCACTAATATACATCTTCCTTATTCTTTTACTACCCAGACAGACGTTTCAGATGAGATTCAGAACTCATTCTATAAATTGAGGACAAATGACTGGCTATTTGACATTAGAAGATCACATTGGCATACCTTGGCTTTTTGGACTGGCCTCCCCCTAGAATCATCCTTAATGTCAACAGTTGATGTCATGATTTCTGCATTCACGTCCCAGAATATAAGTAAACTTGATAGTTTGATAGTTTATTTTTGAAAAGCGGAAAAGAAAATAGAAGTCTCACTTTTCTCAACTGCCAGCCCATTGTTTTTCAGAATTTCTGCAATTGTAACGACCGTGGCAATAGCTGCAGCAGTACAATGAGATATTAATCCTTGCATCAGCTTTAATACTAGACAAATCATACCTATAATCAAGAACTACAATATTCATGATAAAAAAACATCTCAATTCCAAATGTGGCAACATAACAGAACGGGAATGTGCTGCATTTGACTAGATTTAAAACACCTCTCCACCCCCCAACCCCCAAATGGGAATGGGTAATGGATTCTGGACTCACATCTGCAAAATAAACGCTACCTTAGAGTAACCCTGCTAGGTTGCCTAGCCTTTCTTTAGATAACTTGTTCGCTAAACATTTCCATTTGTCCCTTACAACTACCAACTAAACATTTTACCCAAAGCCACCTTATCTTGTTTCCCAATCAGGAGCAAATCTGTTTATACGAGTATATGTTCAAATGGTAAAGAGTTATTTCCTTGGTAATTGTTGTCAGCATCGTGCTAAGCACAAGTAAGAAAACCTAAGCATAAGCAACCAACAAACTGGAACGAGCAACAAAAGGCAACTTTTTCCATATAAAGTAACAAAAGGTTAATACGACATAATGGCTCAACAAATTAGTAACCATTCTCTTCCCACCTTAGGCAGACAAAAAATTGATACAAAATAGCCAGTCATCCTAGCTTGTTCAGAAACTAATAGCTCAACTTGTCAAATTGAGTGAACCGAATCAACGCATGTACAAACAAACTACGCTAAATTTCAGTTGTCTTCCAGAACTTAGTTATGAACCTCAATGTTTTCTTGATTCCAGGGTAATGTCTAACCGGATACCTTAACATGGCACACAACACAGAGATCTACACACACATAGTGCTTAATGAGATAGAAGCAGCTGAAGTGTCATACCCATTCCCAAAGCGGAGAGCTCCACCTCATTGTACTGTTGCATATACCTCTGCAAAACAATATAATGACATAAACATACTATTTATTAATAAATAAAAATTGAAAATAATCAACAATTATTCCGAAACACCTGGAAAACAGAACTGCCGCTGCGTCTATGTCAATCGAAAACATTTATTTCCAGGTAAATCCCAATTTCTTCCCAAATTAACCAGAAAACTCAAATTTCAGCATACTCAAAGCAATTGATAAAGAAATAAAAGAAAACCCAGGAACCAAATAAGGCATACAAGCATATATATAGGCAGAAAATTAAGAACAGGGTAGGGATTAGGGTTTACCTTGGCAAGATTAACATAGAAGAAGAGCGGCTTCTTGGTATTTGAGACCTGAATTCGGTTCTTCTTGTGCGAATCGGAGGCGTTGATGGTGATGTTGTTCACGCCGTCCGTGATCTCCTCCATTGCAATTGAGAGAGCTTCAAAAACCCTAACCCTAAATCCCTTTTGACTACTGTCTCTCTCCGATTTCTCTTTCTAAAATTGTTCTTCTTTATATATATGGGCCTAAAAGGACCAAAAAGGACAAGCATGCGTGGAATTAATTTGTGTTTTATTTTTCATTTGTTTGGTCTTATACTAATAAATCAATCACTTTTTTTTATTTTTTGGTACATCGATATTATATACTAAAAAGAGGAGTTTGGCAAAACCAAATAATAAGCAACCTAATTTAGTATCGAATTTGTCATCCACAAGATTCAAACCTATAACATCTCACTTCCATATGAAGAGGAATACCACCAAACTATACCACAATCTAGTGACATTCCTCTTCACTTGTAAGTGAGAGACCTTAGGCTCGATTTTGCCAAAAACAAATTTGAACCACATTATTGCTAGCTCATTGTGAGGTTAGAGACAAGGGCACAAAGACAATGGTACCCTAATATGCAACGATTTGGGTGTTTAGTGCATGAGTGTGATTTTGTGGCTAGAATTTCTGATGATGAACACAAGAGGCAGCCCCAAGGCTATAAATCCCAACTGGGGTATTAAACAAAATAGTAGTTTGTTTTCAGCAAATCAAGGACAAATGACACTTGTCAACCCAGCAGATGATTTGACCATATCAAGGACTAAAAACAAGCCCTTAGCAAAAAAATGTGAGTCAGTCCACATGTAGACCTGGCATTCATGTCGTGTTTTCTGTGTTCGTGTCGTTTTCATGTCATACCCGATATCTTAATGGATCGTGTCGTATAACACCCGTTAAAATAAACAGGTAAAATGATCCGACCCGAAATTGACCTGATAATATGACTCGACCCGTTACCCGTTAAGTAAAATGTATTTTAAACCAATAAATAATCAAATGAAAAACATAAAAACCCAGTTTTCTTTTAAGTATATATTTACATACCCAAAATAAGATCATAATAAAAAAAAAAACATTAGAACATTACAAAATATCAAATGTTCAAAAGATTTGCAAAATTAAGGACATTAGAACATTGGAACCTTGCACATTTGCTTCCAATCAAACCCTCCAATTTTCCTCAATACCATGGGAAACAGTATTGGAACTAGGGGTGGGCACGGGTTGGGTCGGGCCCAATTTTAGAGGAACCGAACCTTACCAATTTTAAACAATAACGGGGCAGGGCAGGGCGAGTAGAGGGAGTTTGAATTTTAGAACCGGACCTAACCTGGCCCGTTTCATTCAGGGCGGGTCCATGGGTCTAACTCTTTTATTTATTTTTTTTATTTTTTATTTTTTTGGTAATTTGTAAACAGCTCCTCGAGTGAATTGAATAACCTTTCCTTCACCAAAGTATATCCCTAAGATCACATAGCAGATAAACAATCAGCAATGCCATATTTTCCATGGTGAATTAAGTGTAGGATTTAAAATTAAAATACAAAAAGTTGTCCTCGTACAATAACGAAAAATGATGGAAGTACAACGAAGAAAAACTATGGATGAAAGAAAACTAATCTTACTGTGATCATTAATCAGACAGAAAGATCTTGTGATAGCCCGTCCCAGATTTTTCGTACCGTAGGGATGAAATGACAATTTTGCCTCTAGTGATTTTGTTTCGTTGTGTGGTCATTTTGGGGATTTGGTTGGCTGCATTTGGACCACACACACACCCCTACACTTTCAGTCTCATCTTCTGCCTGTCCCGAGTCTCTCTTTCTTTCCCTTCTTCTTCATATGTATGGACAAGAACCCAATCACTCGAAAATGTGGTAGATCGAGGAAGCAAACTTTACATTTGTGCTCGTGAGGTTCTTAGGAGTTCAACCATACCCATTTCAGGTAAGGGAACCTTCGTTTTCACGTCGAACCCGAGAGGTTCATTTCAAAGTACTGTTCATGCACATGTAAATTCATGTATTTTTGGGAATTTCAAGTTTGTAGGAAGCTTGGTGAAGTCCTTAGGAAGCTCGGGGTGGTTCGTTTGAAGGTTTTGGACTTTGGGATCGTGAGTTGCAGGTTTGGCCGGATTTGGTGGTGTTTTTCCAGCGAGATTCTGTTGGTTTTAGTGCTTGAAAGTGGTAAGGATTTGTTCCTCTAGTTATAAGCTTCATTTTGGTACCAATTTCGTGAAATTTGGGTGAAAAACGAGTGAGATATGAAGTTTGGAAACTTTCCCGGTTTTCCCCCGACGGCGACGACGGTAGAGGTTAGCCGGAGAAGACAACGGAATATTCCGTCAGTTTGGACGGAATATTCCTAACAGTGTTAAGTTAACTTTAACGAAATCTGTCAGAGTTAATGGAATATTCCTGACGGCGTTAACTGAGGCCGTCAGTGTGCCAAAAAATTCCACAATCACTACACGAGATGAACCTTGGTTTGGTGAATGGGGATGTTCGTGCGGTTGAGTAGATCACGTTGGTGTATTCATACACCCCATTTGAGCTTGTATGAGAAGTTTTTACCTAGTTTGGGTTATGTGCTTTAAATTAACGTTTTTATAGTTGTTTCGCATATAGGTGAGATCTATCCCGAGGACGAGCGCAGTCACTCGAGGTAAGGGGGTTGCGACCCTTCTACATACTAGTGAGTGGGCTTTTGGTTTTCCGTATATACCTATATATTTGTGATTTTCCCAGAAAATGAAATGAAACGTTTATATGTTTTAAATGCCATGCTTTGCGTTTGCTTATTTAATTATGCATTAGTAGTTGCATATATATATGTTTGGTGTTGCAGATGCACATGTAAGTGCCAGATAAGTTATGGTTTATGTTTGTGTTTAGTAATGATTTGAGATGCATTGAGAGCTTATAACCTGCACCCCCGGTGTTTGTGCTCCTGCCCAGAGTAGGGCACAGTCCTTCACGTGATGTTCACCTCCCGCACCACACGCTCATCTTGGATCCAAGTTAGCTACACAGTCCTGTCGTACAGACCACTATAGGTGGTTCCGACTCGTAGGTGACCCGCGATTATTCGTCCAGTCTTCACGTGATCGTAGCACTTGAGCGTAATTATTTACACCCAGTCCTGTCGTACAGACCACTTTAGGTGGTTCCAACTCGTGTGCAGGTTTAGTTAGTGAGTTGGGGATTTGAGCTCTAGATTCAATCGTACAGGTCACATTAGGTGACTCCGGCTGACAGATTATATGGCATTGTTTGACATTACCTGAGTACTTGCATTTTGTTTAGAGGCATTCGACATAGCATATTTCTGAGCATGTTTTATATATTTGCGTATATTCTATTTTCTGGGAAATTATACAGGTTTTATGGCGAGGGGTTAGTACTTTTGATATTAAAATGATTTTGAAAAGCTTTGTTTTTGCCCACTCACGCTTTCTGTTTTGCGCCCCTCCAGCTTCTAGTTTGGATATCTCTTTTGGTGGCTCTAGAGGAATTCACAGCATATCTAACAAATTATCACCAGTGTAGGACCACATTTGGGTGTGTTTATTTAGTGTTTGTTTCTCCCAGACTACACTAGGTCTTCCGTGCTCTGAATATTGTTTCTCACACTTACGTTTGCCTGTGTATATTATCTACTTAATGTATAGCTTGATTTTTATTTATTCGTACTTTTATTATTATTCTTAGCTTCCGCACTATGCACAGGGTTACGTCACCTTCACGTGACGGCCAGCATGCCCTAATCTCGGTCGAGGTGCGTCAGTTTGGTATCAGAGCATAGGTTTGGCAGTCCTGTACTTTTGTGAGTATTCTAATTGTTTTGGTGTCTTCTGTTAGAGCTATGCCGCCTCGTAAGGAACCACGTTGCTATGCCGAGCCTAGTTTCCCCGATGTAGCTCAGCTAGGGGAAGCTATCGCCACCGCTATTCAGTCGGCGCTCCGCCCTCCCTAGATGACTCATCTGGAGACTATGTGCAATTTGAAGTTGGATAAGTTCGAGGGCCACGAGGGTTTTGAGGGAGCGGAGTGGTGGCTAGAACATATTGAGAAGATTTTTCGTGTTTTGCATAATCAGGGGAATCTCCCTGTTAAGAAGTGGGTTGAGACGACATCTTGGTTTTTGGGTAAGGATTCGGCATCATGGTGGGAGCAGAAGGTTCATCGTTTGTCCCCAGAGGAGATGACTGATTGGGAGGTATTTAGAGAGCTGTTCAAGAGAAGTTTGCCTCCTGAGTATATAGACCGCACAAACCAGGAATTCACTGAGTTGAGGCAGGGGAAGTTGACGGCGAACGAGTATTATCGGAGATTGACTGATTTGTCCCGTTATCATCTGGATGTTGCTGCCAATCTGGCAGAGATGCTTCGTCGTTTCCATTTGGGTACTAAGAAGAAGTAGTGTTCTATGACGACCATTACCCCTTGTGACACTTATCAGGAGTTTTATGAGATTCTGTTGAGGATTGAGGATTCCGAGAACATACCCAGCGAGAGTGACGAGGAAGAAAAAGATGGTAACCAGAGGAAAGATGACAAAGGCAAGGGTCAGGCATCGCTCGGACCTCGCAAGACCCAGAGCTTTAAGTGGGGTGGAACCAGTTCTAGCTCTTCTAGCGATGGTTTTAGTGCCACTGGTCAGGGTCGTGGTGGTAAATTTGCTCGGGGTGCTAGAGGCTAGAGGCAGGGTAATGCTGGTAAAGGAAAGGCTCCGGTTTGCCGCAGGTGTAATAATCAACATTTTGGAGAGTGCATGAGAGGCAACAGTGGTTGCTTCACTTGTGGGCAGATGGGACATTAGGCTGCAAATTGTCCTCAGAGTCAGGAAAGGCCCCAGCAGACTTTCTTGCCACCACCTGCACCGATCTCGCAGGTTCTTGGTCCTGGTAGTTACGGGCAAACGGGCCGTGGTGGTGCCTATTACTATCAGGGCGATGATGTTCATTATGTCCCATGACAATATCCATATCCCCAGGATCCATATTCTCATAATGGTGATCCCCAATATTCTGGTGGCTATATGTCGTATCCTCCAGTTCCAGCAGGTGGGACTCAGTGGTACCAAGGAGGACAACCTTAGTAGGGAGAGATTGCTACGAGTAGTGTGGGATCTTCGAGGCAGTCTAGTCAACCT